ACGCAATCCTCAACAGATATAAGTATAATGTAGCCTTTTGGAACAAGCATGCTTACTCTAGGTATTGATTGAGAACAGTCAAAGTCTCTACCCAAACATGAAGCGGGTATATGATGACATTCGTTCGCTGGCTACTATCCCATCGTGCTCGTTCGATGTCGTTCTCGAAAAAGCCACTATAGAGGCATTGCTCGTTAAGGAAAAGGTTACATAAGTTCACAAACTTTGACTCTCATTAAAAACTAGATGAAATTGCACTAAAGAGTCCATGGAGCTCGTCCGAAGAAGCCCTTGCAACTGTCGAAAGCATTTTCAAAGCAGTAGCTCGAGTATTGACTAGTGATGGTTCGCTCAAGCCATTTTACTAATTTTTCTCATCGTATGAATTTGATAGTTTTCAATAATTGCAGGCGTCTTCGTATCCATTTCCTTTATCCAACCATATTTTCGCGTACCTGCTCTTCTCCGAGTACGGGATTGGTCTGTAACAGTAAAGGATTTCGGAGAGTTCTTCCAATACTTTATCTACGTAATGCAACGAGGCAAAGGGGCTCCAAGAGAAATGATAGAGCGATACGCCCATATTGCACCACAATGGAGCAGACCACTTCTAAACAAGTAGCCTTAATAAACAAGCCCTCCGAGTTAACGCTCTCATTGTCCTGCCTGTATATATGTGGCGCAATAAATTGTTTCTCATAATTATTGCTTAATGAAAAATAGATAAAGGAAATGCTTACTGTGCTCACATGTGCTCTATGATGGAGGCACCATGCTTTTATTCCTAGTTTCAAATTGAGGCAAAGCTCTTCGAAATTATACCGTTTAGCTAGCAGATTATATGTATCCAATATGGCTGAATGGACGCGCGAAGTTTTCTGCTATACCAAAGCTTAGCACGCTCCATATCTTCTTGGGAACGACATTTCTCGAGTGTTTCAGTTATGGCCTAAAATTTCTCGTCTGCGCTTTGGCTTAGACTTTTATGTAAGGGTTGGTAAGAAAATGAAATGATTGGTAATTTAGCTTGATTCATCATTTTCTTTGTAAATCTTAGTCTTCAAGAAGAAGAACATTTTTATGGGTGAGTCACCTTAACGTTTGTTTTTGTTCTGATTACCCTCCATACAAAAACCGACTCGTTCAATAATAACGCAACGGAAGCTGTCTCGCCATCCAGAGCAGTGTTTCTTTCCAATTGAAGATCATATACTTATTTTGGTTCGCAATTGCGCTTCTAGTTAACTGAAGGAAGCAATTATGCGTTGCTTAAGTAGTTTTGAATCCCAGGCTGATTTTTCTTTCACTTCGAGATGTTTTCCTTCCAGATTTCTTCCAGGAATTCGTTCATAGAATGCCACTTGTTGAGCATAAAACATTCGGCGTACTCACCATTTAAAATGTATAAACTATAGGCCAGATAGTAGAAAAAATGCGTCTTAAGTAAAAGAAAAACGGTCGAGATTTAAGACTAATCCTTTCACTTCTTTGAACTACTCAGTGGTTGAAGGAAATTGACAGCACTACTAACTAAAACATATAATCTTCTATCCACTCCTATTTCTTCAAAACCGCAAAGATTGGAAGAGAGAATCTTTACCATGCCTCTGACCTTAGTCATAATTCG